GCCTGGTAACCAAGGACAACTGCCCTCTGACCCCCAGCCTGGTAACCGAGGACAACTGCCCTCTGATCCCCATCCTGGTAACCAAGGACAACTGCCCTCTGATCCCCATCCTGGTAATCAAGGAGAACTGCCTTCTGACCTTAATCTCAGTAGCCAAGGGCAACCACCCCCTGATCCCAAGCCTAGTAACCAAGGGCAACAATCCCATTCCCCTCAGGACACTCCATTTGGGAATTTTGCCCCTCACCCTCCTCCACCTCCCCCCCCTCCCCCCCCCCCGCCCCCCCCTCCCCCCCCTCCTGGACCTGGGCCCCCTCCCCCTCCCGCACCTGTGGGAGGGATTCAGAGATCCAGAGTGACTCGACGTTCCACACTCCGGAAGTTTAATTGGGAAGCCCTTCCTCAGAACCGTGTAGTTGGGAAACAGAACATCTGGACCGTTGAGAAATGTCCGGAACATTTTGCCATTGACACCGAGAGAATGGAGGAGCTGTTTGGCCGTAGGGATGACCAGAAAACGCTGAGTGTACGGAGGAGCTTCCAAGCAAACTCCCCCCAGAGAAACGGAGTGGAACAGGTGAGTGACCCTTGACAGCAGCAATACGTCCTGACTCTGAGAGAACTCCAATGGGACGGAGGGGAAATGGAGAAAGACAGGAAGGCTGTGAGTGATGGAATGTAGCCGTTATGTTTTCAGAGAGTGTGGGCCTCACTAGACTAGACCAATGTTAATTGTCCATCTCTATTGTCCAGAAGGTAGTTAAAAGTAGTGTTCCCTCTAATGTTCTTTCTGTCTGTGTGGGTCCCCAAGCTCCATTTTGGTGTGGTGAATTCCAGAACCACAGCCGGCAGCTTAGAGGGAGCATTGGTTCAGAGTCAATCAAATTTTGGAGTTACATGTAAACCAGGCCAGGTGAGGATGGCAGAGTTCCTTCCCTGAAAGACAGTGGTGAGCCAGACGTGTGTTTACAACAATTGATGGTACTTATGAATGTGGGAAGATAAAAATGAGGACTTGGAGGAGGCCATTCAGCCCCTTGATTCTGTTCCTTTATTTAATAAAATTGTGGCTGATCTGATTACAACCTCAAATCCACGTTTCCAATAACCTCTCACCCCTCTGCATTGTGATCGAGAATGGACCAGTTAATATGATTGACAGTGAACTGCAAAAATGTATTTGGAAATTGGATGGGTGCAATGTCAAATCAGCCATGATCCTATGGAAAAGTGGAATGGGCTCAAGGGGCCAAATGGTGTTATATTCCCTTGGGAGAGTCTGCCACTATCTAATCTGGTCTGAAGAAATGCCTGAGACCTAATGGAATGGGAGAACAGGTGATGGATATATTAGTGAAGAGTTCATTGCAGTTGATTTGCTTGCATTCAAATATGGGGGGTTAGTGATCAAAAGGGTGTGACTTTTATGGAGTACCTAACTGAAATAAACCTCTCACATAGAAGTGTGGACTTGAATTCTGTTTAAATACAGTTATTCTGTTGAGGATAACAGCAGTCTCCTGGGTCTTGGCAGACACAGCTTGCTCAGGAAATATACTGTTGAGAATATTTTTATCAGTCACTCTCCTCCAACTGAGCAAATAGGATTCACACAAATTTCAGCAAAAAGGTGCTTCAGAGCTGGGCAGCTTGTTCTGTGCAGACTTTTCCCTCTCTTGATTCCAAGTAGAAACGACTCTTCAAGTCTCCCAGTGTTCAAACAAGATTACAAGGATATTGTTGCTTAGTAGTGTAGAACCTGAATATTACTGAACAAAGATTCATTTTTCTGAAATGTGTTGTCTTGCACTCATCAAGACAATTCGCAAGCATGCCAATTTAAGGGGGAAATGCATGTATGTAATACAATGTGACAGGGGACTGCTGATTCTGAATGGTAGGGGTGTTGCCATGGAGAACACACCAACTAATGATCATTGACAGTTAACTACCACACTGTTTATATTTTTAACCAGGCAGGTTGACTCTGATTGGTCCAGGTACTTCCCTGAAAAATGAATCATGGGATGTGGACGTCGCTGGCTTGGTCAGCATTTATTGCCCATCCCTTGTTGCCCCTTGAGAAAGTGGTAGTGAGCTGCCTTCTTGAACCACCGCAGTCCATGGGAAGTTGGGACAGTCACATTGCCATTTCTTTCTAGTATATTGCCCCAGTGACACTGAGAATCGAACCATTATCACCTGCTTGGCTGTGATTAATGCCTATTGGTGTCAATTATTGTGGGCATGGCTGTTGTAGATTCTGCCATCCCTGAGACAGGGAGGAAGGCAGCGCTTTGGGAAATACTCTAATGCCAGATGCTTTCTGTTCCTAGGTCTCCATCTTGGATGCCAAGAAGAGTATGAACCTTAGTATATTCCTGAAACAATTCAAAAGGTAACAGTTGGTCAGTCAGTATATCTGTGACCACCTTTCTCAAGGCTCCTTATTGAGGTATCTAACATTTAACTCCTTGCCATTTCCCATCTCTGTTACACCAAAGTGAATAATTTAGTCCTTGGTAAGTTTGCTTTCATTATTTAATAATAAATTGATTAAGTTTTTTGAGGATGTGACCAAAACGATGGATGAGCGCAGTGTGGTAGATGTTGTCTATATGGACTTAAGTATGGCCTTTGACAAGGTTCTGCATGGTAGGCTGGTCAGTAAGGTCAGATCACATGGGATCCAGGGGGAACTAGCTAATTGGATACAAAATTGGCTTAATGGTAGGAGACAGAGGACGGTGGTGGAGGATTTTTTCAGACTGGAGGCCTGTGACCAGTGGTAAGCCACAAGGATCGGTACTGGGTTCACTGTTGTATGTCATTTAAAATAATGATTTTTATGTGAATATAGGAGGCATGTTTTGTAAGTCTATGAATGACACCAAAATTGGTGGTATAGTGGACAGTGAAAAAGGTTACCTCAGAGTACAACAGGATCTTGATCAGATGAGCCACTGGCAGATGGATTTTCATTTAGTTAAATGTGAGGTGTTGCATTTTAGCAAGACAAACCAGGGCAGGACTCGCACAAGTTTATGGTAGGGATCTGGAGAGTGTTGTCCAACAGAGAGACCGAAGGGTGCATGTACATAGTTCTCTCAAATTTGCGTCACAGGTAGACAGGGTGGTAAAGAAGGCATTTAGCACGCTTGCCATCATCAGTCAGAGTATTGAGTACATGAGTTGGGACATCATGTTACAGCTGTACAAGACATTGGTAAGGCCACATTTGGAGTACTGTACTGTGTACAGTTCTGGTCACCCTGCTATAGGAAGGATGTTATTGAACGAAAAAACTAGAAAAAAAGATTTATAAGGATGCTACTGAGACTGGAGGGTTTGAGTTATAGGGAGAGGCTGATAGGCTGGGACCTTTTCTTTGGAGCATCAGAGGCTGAGGTGTAACCTTATAGAGGTTGATAAAATCATGGGGGCATAGATAGGGTGAATAGACAAGGTCTTTTTCCCAGGATTAGGAGAGTTCAAAACCAGAGGGCATAGGTTTAAGGTGAGAGGAGAAAGATTTAAAAAGGATCTGAGTGGTAACTTTTTCACACAGAGGGTGGTTCATGTGTGGAATGAACTGCCAGAGGAAGTGATAGATGAAAACTGAAAGAACTGAGGATTCTGTAAATCAGGAACAAAAACAGAAGTTTCTGGAAAAGCTCAGCAGGTCTGGCAGCATCTGTGAACAAAAAGTCAGAGTTAACGTTTCAGGTCCAGTGACCCTTCCTCAGAAGTATGGAAGTGATAGATGCTCGTAGAGTTAGGAACATTTAAAAGACATTTGCCGAGGTACATGAATAGGAAAGGTTTAGAGGGATATGGGCCAAACGCAGGCAAATGCAGCTTGGGAAACTTGGTTGGCATGGACGAGTTGGAGTGAAGGGTCTGTTTCTGTGCTGTATGACTCAATGACTATATGAATTGAAAACTGAGTAGTATGTAATGGGGCCATAAGCCTGTGTCTAAGGAGGCTGTTTTAACCAATCACGATGAAGGGAGAGCTGTCGCAACAACTCCAAGGCCTCCTGGGAAACTAGCGATACTCCAAATGGCCCAGAGAGGCTAGGCTTCCTGCTGGTCCAACCAGTTGTTTGGAGGGCTTGGAGTTTGATGGGCATTGGGGCCCTGGATGTGGTCACTTCTATAGCCAGGCGGAGGAAGGGACAGGTGCTCTCCTGGAGAGTATCTGCACCCAGGGCTGTAGTGAGCTGGAGAAAGGCTGGAATGTTTGGGGGGAGATTGTAATCTGGAAACTGAGGCTAATGTGTCAGGGACACAGGTTCAAACCCTGCCACAACAACTACTGGAATTTACATTAATTAATCAACCTGGAGTTCAAACTGACTCTCAATGAAGGAACTATCTTCGAATTGGGGGAAAACCCCAGCTGGTTCACTAATGTCCTTCAGTGAAGGAAATTTGCTGTCCTCACCTGGTCTGGCCTACATGTGACCCAAGACCCACAGCAATGTGATCAGCTCTTAACCACCCTCTGGGATAGCGAAGCAAAGCCCCCAGTTCAGGGGCAATTAGAGATAGGCAACAAATGCTGGGTTTACCAACAACAGCCAGACCTGATGACAGAACAACAATAAAACAAGTTAAAACTGAATCAGAGAACAATGTTCAGCAATGACAGTGTGCCTCTCTGTGGTCAGATATCACAGAGGATCCCGAATATCCAACTCCTGGGAAGGTGAAGAACCAAAGGCCTTGGACCATCTCACAGCCAATGAGCAAAGGGAGGGAAAGACTGGACTCCTGGGAAAGAGCTTCAGACAAATCCGATTTCAAAAGGTCAGAGCCTCTGGATTGGAGAGAATTTGGAGATAATGTCATGGTGAAGACAGAGTGAGGAGGAAGGATTTCAGATTCCAGAACTTGGGAACAGTTCTGGCCCAGGAGGGACAGTTCATGTGAAATAGGAGGGATTGAATCTGGAGAGGGAGGCTGAGGGAGAAGGTTTAAGTGACCTCAGCAGGAGACTGGGCTCTACAACATGGTGTTCAGAGGCAGCAGGACCCAGGTACCAGCAGATTCAAATTAATAACACGGGCAGGATCAGACAATTGATAACGAACAATAATTTAAGGTGATAATTGGATGCAGGAGCTGTTTAGATTCACCATACGCTATCCAGTGATTAAATCACAAGCACAGGTTGGACTAGCCTTGGTCTGTATGGCCTGGAACTGATTAGATTCAGGGATAACTTTCAGCTTTCACGATATCGACAGCTCGAGTCCTTGAGAGAAACTCTTTCCTCCACAGGGTGAGGAATCTGAGGTTCTGTGGTTGAGTCTAACACGAACCAGAGACTTCTGGAGTGAGACTTGCAGACACCCAATAGGTCGAGGTTTGGAATTCTCTTTGTGAAATGCAATTGGTGCTTGATCCATCGTTAATTAAAATGCTCATTGATGCTCATTGTCAGCATTCTGAATCAGAGGGCAAAGGACAGGCGATAGATATAGGGCCCAGATCAACCATGGCTGGTGGAATAAACTCAAAGGATTGAGTGTTAACACAGTGTGGAGCTGGAGGAACACAGCAGGCCAGGCAGCATCAGAGGAACAGGAAAGCTGACGTTTCGGGTTGGGACCCTTCCTGCCTGGCCTGCTGTGTTCTGAAGAAGGGTCCCGACCTGAAACAAAGCTCCACACTGTGTTATCTCTGACTCCAGCATCGGCAGTTCTTACTCTCTCCAAGGATTGAATGTTCCTGTGTTTGGGAGAGAGAGAGACAGAAAGAGAAAGAGATAGATAGAGAGAGGGAGGGAGAGACAGAGAGAATGTCCCAAAAGAGCTCATATCTGTGGGGCAGAGGGGGCTGTTTGTTCTGGTTTATGAATGACAATAAAGTTCTTTTGTTGGTGCTGTATCATTTTCTCAGGTGGCCTTTGGCACCTTGTAGTATTTTGCCACCTGTACCCATACATGGTACTGGGTAGGGGCTATTTGAGGTAGTACACTGCCACCAATCCTCCTCTGTCTTTGCTGTGTCCTGGGTCTATCTAGAGATTCATGATAAACAGCAGTATACAGCGTCCACAGGAGAGGCTCCATCCTGAGATAACAAAGAAGTTAATTGTCTGAGAGTAGAACCCCATTGGGCAGGAGCTGATGGAACCACTGAACAGAAGGCAGATAGAGGCCTTTACTGCAAGGGGCTGGTATATGAAAGCCGAGCTGTTTCGTCACGTGTGTGTGTGTGTGTGTTTATATATAGGGTACTGCTGAGTCTGCACTTCAGGGCAGTGCGTGGTTTAGCTTCTCCTTCCTTCCAAATGGAGAGGTTTACACCAGAAACAGCTTGGAAAAGCTCCACTTGGTGGGTTCCTGCTGTCCTGAACTGGCTAAACATCCTGAGGTATTGATATAAACCCTGTTTGGAGAGTATCGCTGTCTTGTCTTTTGGATATGGTAATTAACTTTATAATTATCTCATTATTTGTTTATCGTTCAGGTGAGATAATTAAGTTTTTAATGATCTGAGCCATTATTAATTGGCAGCTATTCTTTCAAGAGATAATCTAACCACTGCCCCTTGACATTCAATGGTGTTACCATCACTGAATCCCCCACTATCAACATCCTGGGGTTATCATTGACCAGAAACTCAACTGGACTCACCACACACACAGTGGCTACAAGAACAGACCAGATGTTAGGAATACTGCGGCAAGTAACTCACCTCCTGACTCCTCAAAGCCTGTCCACCATCTACAAGGCACAAGGCAGGAGTGTGATGGGATTCTCCCCACTTGCCTGGATGGGTGCAGCCCCAACAACACTCAAGAAGCTTGACACCATCCAGGACAAAACAGCCGCTTGATTGGCACTACATGCACAAACATCCACTCCCTCCACCACCGACGCTCAGTAGCAGCTGTGTGTACTATCTACAAGATGCACTGCAGAAATTCACCAAAGATCCTCAGACAGCACCTTCCAAACCCACGACAACTTCTCTAGAAGGACAAGGGCAGCAGATACATTGGAGCACCCCCTGCAAGTTCCCCTCCAAGTCACTCACCATCCTGACATGGAAATATATTGCTGTTCCTTCAGTGCTACTGTTTCAAAATCCCGGAATTCCCTCCCTAAGGGCATTGTGGACAAACCTACAGCACATGGACTGCAGCAGTTCAAGAGGCAGCTCACCCCCACCTTCTCAAGGGCAACTAGGGACAGGGCAATAAATGCTGGGCCCAGCCAACAATGCCCACATCCTATGAGTGAATAAAAAAAAAGTTTTTTGTGAAATCCGAAATGCTATCCCCCCATCCAGGAAAGCCATTTCTGATGAGTTTCTCTTTCCTTCTCTTAAGAGGAATACAGTCTGGGCCCAATCACAGTTGAATTCCCAACAGAAGTCTTTTGAAAGCTATTTTCAAAAGAGATTAGAGATAGTAGGAACTGCAGATGCTAGAGAATCTGAGATAACAAGGTGTAGAGCTGGATGAACACAACAGGCCAAGCAGCATCAGAGGAGCAGGAAAGCTGACGTTTTGGGCCTAGACCCTTCTTCAGAAATGGGGGAGGGGGAAGGGGGTTCTGAAATAAATAGGGAGAGAGGGGGAGGCGGATAGAAAATGGATAGAGGAGAAGATAGGTGGAGAGGACAGGCTTCGCAGTGGGGTTAAAACTTTTTCAGAGATAGTAGGAACTGCAGATGCTGGAGAAGCTGAGATAACAAGGTGTAGAGCTAAATGAACACAGCAGGCCAAGCAGCATCAGAGGAGCCGGAAAGCTGACGTTTCGGGCCTAGACCCTTCTTCAGAACTCTCCACCTATCTTCTCTATCCATCTTCTATCTGCCTCCCCCTCTCTCCCTATTTATTTCAGAATCCCCTTCCCCTCCCCCATTTCTGAAGAAGGTCTAGGCCCGAAACGTCAGTTTTCCTGCTCCTCTGATGCTGCTTGGCCTGCTGTGTTCATCCAGCTCTTCTACACCTTGTTATTTCAAAAGAGATTAACTTCCTTTACAACATCTATCTCTTTTATAAAATATTAGAACTGCATTTTTATTCAAGAGGTTTTCCTAATCATTAGGAGAGTCTGGACAGAGAGAGACTTCCAATTAGTGGAAAATTTGGGAACATGGCAGTATGGAATTAAAGTAATTAGTAAATGTGACATGAGGAAATCTTGTAAAAATTATGTAGGATTACAGGGAAAAGGCTGGAGAATCACGCAAGGTGAGCTGCTCATTTGGAGAATGTGTGGTTCAGAGTTGTCAGAGTCCCGTGGTTGTGTGAATTGACATGGATCTACAAAGACTGCTTCTAGAATCATAGCATCACTTCTTTTCAGATAACAATCCAATTTCCAATTTTGCAAATGTGACTCAGTTATTTAAGGGGAGATAAAGAGAGCTGTTAGCCTGGTATAAGTGACAGCAACATTCTAGAATGGACACAGTCAACATCGATTCATGAAGGGAAAATCATATTTAACAAAACCATTGCAGTTTAATTAAGGAATGTAACCAGCAGAATAGTTAAGGGGGAACTGGTGAAGTGATTCATTGAGATTTGCAGAAGGGTTTTGATAAAGTCACACTCAGGAGATTATTGAACAAAAAATAGGGCATTAGAAATTTAGGGCACAGATTGAATGAGGATTAACAAACAGATTGAGATTCAATAACAGCCTTCAGAAGGATAAATAAATGAAAACAGAAAAGAATTATTAGGATTTGAGGGGAGAGTGGGGAGTGGGAGACTAACTGGAGAGATCTGAAAAAGTGCTAAGCACGGAGTATTGGACAAAATATTCTCCTGTAGCAGTATGTCCTTCAACTACCATCCCCTAGACACATTGTCCAGTCATTGCCTCGTTACTGTGAGTGCAGTGTTTCAGGATGCTTCTTGGTGTGTATAGTGTTTCCAGGTGTTTCTGGGGGTGTGTGGTGTTACTGGGGGTGTGTGGTGTTTCTGGGTGTTTCCAGATTTTTCTGGGTGAGCATGGTTTTTCCAGGTGTTTTTGGGAGTTTCCGGGTGAGTGTGGGTTTTCTAATTAAATGTTGGTGCCATTTCCCCAGTTCTGAAGAATTCCAGGCTATCGGGACATTGTAAGTTCTGAACACAAGGTCACAGCTTTTATCCTGAAATGAAATTGTTTTTGAGTGATTTGGAACGATGAGTGAATTTACTGAATTGTCCTTGTCCCTTAGACCCGTGGAGAGTATTCTGGATGATATTCGGAATGGAGAAGGAGCTTCGTACGGAGCTGAGAAACTAACAGAACTCCATAAGCTGCTGCCTGAGAAGGAGGAGGTAACTGGGAATGTCTGGCTTCAGAATATTTTACTGAAGACCATTTGGCCCATCACAGCTGCTGTCTCTCTGTGAGAAACACTGAGAATGTGAACCAGGACTTTCAGGAGCGAAGATGAGACACAGTTTCTCACACACACAGTGCAAACTCACTGTTACGTTGGGATTTGACCAATTCTTTCAAATCAGAGATTGGATAGTTGCTGTTTGACAATGACACTCAAAAATGCCAGTCCAAGCCCAGGGCCTGGGATTATGAGACAGATCAACCACCCATGGGATAGGTTTGGTGGGACTGAATGTCCACCTCCTGTTCCTGCCCAATTAACACCCACATCCCCACCCCAAACTACCAGTTTTTCCCTCATAGCCCTGTAAAGATCTCCCATTCCATTATCACAGAATGCAGAATACCATTCAGCCCACCATGTTTGTGCTAGCTCTCAAAAGGTGCAATTCACTGTATGCCATTTCCCTGCTTTCCCCCCCCACCCCAACCCCAGACCCCACGATAACTGCTCCCCTTTGGAGAGCTCCCTGGGCCGTGCTTCCCCAACATTCAGACACCACACTGATCTCAAGTCACAAGCCTTTGAAAATCACTTTAAATCTGTTGCCTCTCATCCTTAATCCTTTCACAAACAGGAACAATTTCTTCTGATTTACTCTGTCCAGACCCCTCATCATTTATCAAATCTCTTCTCAGCTGTCTCTCCTAAAAGGAAAACAAATTCTTCAATCACTTCACTGAAATTTCACATTCCTTGCAAATCACTTCTGCACTCTCTCTCCAACGCAGTCACATCCTTCCTATGATGTGGTGCCCACTGCTGGACACAATCCTCCAGCTGAGGGTCTAACCAGAGTCACTATCACCTCCTCCCTCTTGTACTCTATGCCCCTATTAATAAAGCCAAGGACACTGTCTGCATTCTCCACCCGTCCTGCCACATTCAGTGATCTGTGCACATATTCACCCAGCTCCCTCTGCTCCTGCACCCCCTTTAGAATTGTACTCCCTATTTTATATTGTCTTTCAATGTTCTTCCAAACAAAGTGCATCACCTCACAGTCTACCCACTCCACCAACCTGTCAATGTCCTTTTGAAGTTCCACACTGTCTTCCTCACAGATTACAATTCTTCCAAGTTTCATGTCATCTGCAAAAATGGAAATTGTCCTGTACAAAGCAAGATCCAGGCCATTAATAAATACCAGGAAAAGCAAGGGTCCCACTACTGATCCCGGGGGAGCTCCATTACAAACCCTCCTCCAGCCTGAACAATATCCGATGGCCATCACTGTCTGTTTCCTATCACTCGGCCAGTCTTGTATCCACATTGGTACCGTCCCTTTTATACTGTGACCTGTAACTCTCCTCACAAGCCTATTGTGTGCCACTATGTCAAGTATCGTCTGGAAATCCAGGTGCACCAGATCAACGGTTATTCTCATTGATCCTTTCTGAAAACTCTTCAAAAAACTCCATCAAGTTAAACACAATTTAGACAGTATTACTTTCTCTGTTCTCTGAGGCCACCTGTTAACTACCTTTCTCTGTTCTAGTGCAATCTGTCTCTGCCAGTATTGCGTGCACCTTGGTTTGCCCTAAGCCATGTACAAGACAGGATTGCAGTCACAGCCTGTACTGGTGGTCAAGCCCCTGTCCACTCCAGTCTCAAATCCCAGCACCTGGGCCCTAGCAGTGAATGCCATGGAGAGCCAGACTTGGGCTGACAAGTAACATTCGCGCTACACAAATGCCAGGCAATGACCATCTCCAATAAGAGACAATCTAACCACCGCCCCTTGACATTCAATGATATCACCATCATGATGCCCATTAACATGGTACAGCCCACCACCATCCAGAATGAAGCATCTCATTGGATTAATACCCCACCAATCATCTTCAACATCCACACCCTCCACCACTGACACTCCGTGACATCAGCTCGGCATACTGCAGAAATTCACCAAAGCTCCTCACACAGCACCTCCCCAACCCATGACCACTTCCTTCACTGTTGCTTGGTCAAAATCTTAGAATTCCGTCCTTAAGGTCATTATGGGTCTATCTTCAGCACATTGACTGAAGGGGTTCAAGACGGCAGCTCACCCCGACTTGAGATGAAAACAGATGAAGATGGCAGTTTGTTAGTTTTGAGGAATGTAAGATTCCACAAAGTGAAGAAATTAATCATGTTGAATCCCTTTACAGCTGTTCCCTCCCGTCTGCTTTTTCTCTCTAAAGCTAGAATTCTCACACCTGCTCCGGGTTTTGGAAGATTCTGTATATATCAGGGATGCATCTCCACAATCCACACAGAGTTTGTATCAGAGATAGTAGGAACTGCAGATGCTGGAGAATCTGAGACAACAAGGTGTAGAGCTGGATGAACACAGCAGGCCAAGCAGCATCATAGGAGCAGGAAGGCTGACGTTTTGGGCCTACCCTAACCCTAACCCTAACCCTATCGCAT